ATCCTCCAGGGGGCAGCAGAGGAAGCCCTAACCCTAACCAGACCCAAAGGGGGAGCCCGTCCTCCAGGGGGCGGCAGGGAGAGTCAAATACAGTAAAACTGTACGGGGGCTTTGCTGTGTAGCACAAACCAACAAAAGGGCAGCACAAATTGCAGATAATTTTAACGCTGATTATGGGAATAATGTGTCACGGCATATAGTGCATGGAAATACACACGTATGGTCATAATGTTTTGGCTGATCTTCAGTATAATACTTCTGTTCACATTGCATCGTCTCAAAGCGCTTTACATTTTCCCCGCACGAAGCCGCCAGTGAGGAAGCTGGGGCGACAGTGGCTGGTTGGTAAATAATGCAACATTGTTATTCCATCAACTCCTCTTTTATTATCATACAGCTAAATATAACTTTAGTCCACTATGTAAAGGAAAAACTAGATACTGTTCCCATATTTCCACAAGCTGAAAATATTCAAATTCAAAAAACTTTAGAGGAGCAGCGCACACACATAACAGTTGTAACATGTTACACAATAGACACACAATAGACACACAATAGACACACAATAGACACACAATGAACTATGAACAATAATAAATAAATGACTTTAAGTACAGAGTCAATAAGGTGCATGATGTTGAAAGTGAAAAAGTGAGAAATGAGAAATGAGAGAGACTCAGATCTGAGGTCTGGATTGTAGGGGGAGGTGGAAAAGGGGGAGGGGGGGGTGGTATTTTACCCTAATAAGAAAAATAATACAGCAATCGAGTGGGGAAAATAAAAATCCCTTTTGGATTCCTTTATATCCTCCTGAGACCCAAGGAAAAAAGTGTCCTTCAATTGTAGGTTATTTGTTTTTGGAGGAAATAAGACATCTTACAATTTAGATTTTTTTCAAATGTATTCTTATTTTAATTTCACAGCATGTCCTCTTTAGTGCACAACAACAATAAATACGTTTCCCAACATCAGTGAAAAAATAAATGCAAAAATACAATGTCCACTACAATGGACATAAATGAATAGGTCGGTTCTCAGGAGGATATTCAGTATGAAGCTTTAATGGGAACTTAGGCAAATAGAATTTTCTGCAGCAGATGTTTTGGTGGAAATGGACAATGTGATAACTGGGACTAATGATGGGGAAATCAGGAGGAAATTGGGAGAATCGTGTCCCTGACCTGTACAGTAAGTGCGTTTGAATTTGTCGCGGTTGCCATTTCAAACGGTGCCAGACAGCCGTCTGATGGCGCAACCCTGACATTAGCATCTTAGAAACCACGATTAATCTCGTGCTGCCATCTCGACGTCAAAAAAAAACAAAACAAAAAAAAACAGAACACGCATTATGTTATTGTACACCATAAAGCACTGTCACACCCGGCGCGCTTGGAACTTGCGGTTCATTTAATGAACCCGGAGCCCTGCAGAATCCTACTTATGCTGCCATAGCCATATCTGCCGGAGCATTGCACTTCATATTGCACTCATCTAACTTTCAGCACTGCCTATAGTCTCCCTTAATTTGACTAATTG